AATAGAAACATTAATTATATTATATTAATTAAATTTTCCTTTTTTATGTGTCTGTTGAGCCATCGATCTTTTTCACAGTTAGTTGATTGTAGAGTTAGTTTCAATCAGTGGTCGGCACGCACACATACACATGTTTCGTTTGTGTGGGTAGACAGCAGGAAAACGGAACATTGTTTTGCTTCCAACCACTGTAATACACGTGTACGTGGCAGCGCAGCAACAGAGCATTTTTTTATCCACAATAGATAGGTCCATGCTGAGCACTGTTTTAAATGAATGAATAGGTCAAGCGGGTTCGATAATATATATATAGTAATATATCCATAATGCCCTACACCCACATACGCATTAAGTATACGTTAAGCACTTGACATATTCATAACCACACCCACACCTATACACGTTATGCATATGCCCAGCACTCACCCTACACCCATCTATTCGCATCTATATGAAATAAGATAAACATATAAGAAGATACCCTAACACCTGCATAAACAACGCATGATTCGTCCATACCGAAATCAACAACAACAAATCAACATGCAACGCAAAACTCTGGAATGCAATAGAACGTCGCTGACCAATACGTTATCAGCTCGTTCCCACACTCCATCACATGACTAATTCAGAATCAGTCCCACACTCCAATAGAAGGGAAAACTCTTGTAAACAAGTGAGTTCTCAAGATGAAAGCTGACACCAATCACCAGCTGCGGCTGCCTGTTTCATCGAAGCCGACGAATCTCCCAAGCCTCCCACACATAGGCCAACGCATCGCTTATAAGCCGCTCTCACCAAACCAACCGAAGCTTCGACTCTCTCAGCCGAACCATCATCACTCAATTACGAAGACGAAATATCAGCCGAAAGCTTAAGGAGATAAGTTTTAAGCTTCCCAACAGAGTTATCGAGATCAATAACTCGAGAACAAGAAGACAGTTCCGTTTGAGACACCAAGAAGACAAAAACCGCAACGATTTAAATAAATCAACAACCAAATAATCCATTGAGTGAAACACACGTGAAGTGAACTAAAATCAATTACAAATCAAAATGGCATTACCACCAGCAACCCTTAGTGAAATTCACCTAAACCAAGCACTACTGTCAATTCGACAAGTGCCAGCATATGACGGATCAGCTGGAAAGCTGAGCACCTTCATCAAACGCGTTGAGTACATCCAAGAACTGTACCCGACGCAAGACGCCAGACAATCACGAATACTGTTTGGCGCCGTTGAGGTGTAGCTGACCGAGGAAGCACAACGACTATCACAAATGGTTCAACCCAACACCTGGCTGAATCTGAAGAATACTCTAATAGACGAGTTCAAGAACCACACACCATACAAAGAACTTCTGCGACAAATCTACTTCACAAAATTCAATGGGAGTCTTCGTAAATTTATAGAAGATCTAGAAATTAGAAATTAGAAAACAGTGCAGGCAACACTCTGATCTATCAAAATGCATTAAATAATACAATTAAAGACGTAATATCGCGTAAACTCCCAAATAGGACCTTTATGACCTTAGTTCGAAAAGATATGACAACCCTTGTTTAGAGTGAGGACGGCGCTGGCGGGGCAACAGCTCTGGGCCACACCACTGTTAAAAATCCAGCTACGCAAGCTGTTGCCCTCGCTCTCGCTCTCACGCCTATGAGCTTTTTTCCCCCCGGTGACGCGCTCTCGCGCGCATATTCACCACGCTTGCGCTCCCGCCCACGCTCACGCTCACGTTCCCGCTCTCGCGTCCGACAGCCCTCGGCAGCTTGAGCGCCACCGATCTCAATTCAATGCGCTTCTTCACCCACAAGCAAACGGTTTTGCACGCGAGACATATATATGTACATTACTTAAGCCAACGAATCAACCTAAAATATATACTGAAGAAACTTGGACCTGCCTCTTGTATTTATCTGTGGGAATTCATCTGTGGAACCCCGAAAGCCCCTTCGCTCAATCATTGGTCCTTCGAGCCGGATATACTTCGCCTTCCCCAACCATATCCAGCCTTCGAGCACGGCATCGCCTTCACCACCAGGATCCCAAGATAAGTACAATTTTCGTGTGCCACAAATCCCTTCCATTCGCGATTTGTGTTCCAAAATTCCGAAAAGTCCGAGTTCCGCGATATAAGTACATATATATATTCTTATATATGTACTTATTTCTCATTCTGTGCCATCCGTTATCCGTTTCTTCTTTTTTCGACACCGCAATATTATCGGCAATTCCGGTCGTTCTCCCTTCGTTCATCTCCAACTACCAGTGATACGGTAGTTCTTCAATTCCTTGTGTCTGTCCATTACTTGCGGACAAATTAAATAACTAAAAATTAATTAAAAAAGTGCATTCCGAGCATATGTATGTACGTACATTCCAGCCCATAAGAGCGGCGTACATACACACACATCTACATCCGTGTCTCTACAGGTGCATTCCAGCACGACCCACCCCAATAAAATATACTTTGGCACACTCCGAGTGCAACTACAATCACATCAAGTGATACCATACCTATAAACACATATATTCCCATAGTTGGCCGCAATATATTGCACAGCTATATGCATAACATACATAATTCCATACCATAAAAATACCACTCCCCGTAGAAAAATACCGCGCTCCATACACTACATACATACTCCGCGCAAGTGCCAATTTTAATATAAAATTCGCGATTCCGTACAATTCGTGCACTCTAGCCACTTTTCACGATCGCTACCCCAACTCCAACATCCTCCACTTTCCAAATAAATTACTCGCGACCAAGGCACGGCGCACTTATAGTAATTATTTGGCAATTTCCACTGCCAATTGGCAAATTGGTGTTTCGGTCCTTTGTTGTTGTTTTTTTTGTTCCGTGCATCAGAGGTGGCGCAATCCAAAAATATCGGTATCGTAACCGAGTCTTGCGTTCGACCGAAAATAAATTAATAAAAAATAAAAATACAATTTCCAAACAAACACACCGACACTACAAGAAATGGTTAGTTTTGCCTTTTTTTTGCAACCCGCGGACGGGGGCCCCCCGGGGGGGGGGGCCGGGGGCCGGACCACAGGGCGGGGGGGCCCGGCCCCCGGGGCCGCGCGCCCCCCGTGGTGGCACTAAGACTCCGTGCCACGGGGCGGCCGGGGGGCGGGCGGGGGGGGGGCGGCCCGGGCGGATCCTACGAAATAAATTAAACGATCCACGATTTCTTATTTAAACCGTTTCGTCCTCCTTTTCCCGATATTTTCTGTTTTCCTTCGGTATTTCTCCCGATAGTTTTCCAGCTCCCACTCCGCAGTCATATTCTTGACTGTAGCTTCCGGTAACGCTTACGGCGACTAGGTTTATCTGCACTTTGTCGATCCAAACCGACATCAAGAGCAAACTATCGCCCATTCCAATCAACTATCGAGGATATAAATGCCATTCCGTCCGCAGTCCATCCGCAAATAACCCAGTTCTGATCACGACTGCGTCAAAGAGGTAAACGGAGGAGCCCGCACTAACAATATTTGCAAACTATTGGCAAAATCAGTGTAACCGGTCCTCTCCTCGGCTCAGCGCAATATAAGTCACTCATTGTTTGAGAAATTTCACTTCACGGTGATCTCAAACAATCCGAGTCGACCCGACTATTGTTTTCCAACAAGCTCGAGGCCTTTTTCCTGACAGCCTTCCATAAGTGGGTTATATTTGTTTCCTGGCGTCTTTCTGTTGGAATTCCACTCAGATCAGTCTTCTGTCCCTCCAGGACTTCCAAATCCGATTTTCTGTGCGAGTGTGAGTTCGGAATATGCCAACAGGTCACAAGGACGGCAACCTCTTCCAACCGGCTACGCACCTCGTCCGCCTCCGGAACTACGCCTACTCTGTTTAGGCAACGCAAAGTTTCTACCGGGGAACTATTTTATATTATAGCAGCTCAGATGTCGTTGCGCCTATGTTTTGGGAGTATGCCTTATGCATCTCTTTCGTAGTTGTTTTGGGAGCTACAGCGATCGGCAAACGTCTACGGTCTGCTCGCCTCTTATACGGCGCTCTCGTACGCTATTTTCGCGTCGCAAGGTGCAGTTAGGACTAGCATATAAGTACTACATAAGTTCAAGAACCACATCGACGGCAATGAACAGCAAGCCGATGATACAGTCTGTAAGCGACAGCCCAGGAAAGCAGAACGCACCCTCTGTGCCAAACATTGTATTTTTTAACTTAACCTCTAATAAATCATTACGCAATCATTAAATCCGCGTGTAAAACCTTTCTCTGGGACCACGGATCCGCCCCCCTAAGGAACGTCCACTGCCGCCACAGGTGTAATACCACTTTGTGTGCCGCATCATTATCTCAGCAGATTGGGGCTTCGTCAAGGCGCAGCCGTAAACCAACATATTTTTGGTGCCGAAACCCGGGACTGCTTTGCTTGGGACTGGCTGGAAACAAACCGTTGGTCTTCGTTGGACACCTTTAAACAGTGGAAGGTTCATTTACGCAAGGTTAGTGCACTTGTGAGTTGTTGTGTGATAGAGAGTTGAGTCATGGCCGAAGGTGTAGTGGAATTAATTTGCGAGCAAGCTGCGTTGGTAGACTCGGTGAAGCGTATGTTGGAAAAGTTCAAAAATGATGAGACCAGTAAATCTGAAGCGCATATGGAGGCTAGATTGGAAGCTATGACCACGGTACATGCGGAATTTCGCGCGAATCATCGTAAGCTGATACGGTCGGAGGATGATTTGGTGAAGCCGGGTTATTTGGAGGTGGATCTTGAAGGGCAGTTTGAAGAAGCGTATATCGATTGTGTCGCGCAAATTCGAACGGAATTAAACATCTCGAGAGGTCGGATTCTTGCATCAACGCTCATCTCATCCGGTGAAGTGCAGCGAAATGGGTCCACCGAACCTACTGGTGTTAGCGGGTTAGCCGGTGTTGAAGAGGTTAAACTTCCTAGAGTGAAACTACCCATGTTCAGTGGAGAATTTGTGGATTGGCCGGCATTTAAGGAAATGTTTGAAGCTCGGGTCCATAATTGTCCTAGACTCACGGATTTGCATCGATTTCACTACCTCAAAGATTCTCTTTCAGATGAAGCGAAAAGGGATATACAACACCTTACTCTGATAGAATCTAATTACAGTGTAGCTTGGCAAATGTTGTTGAAATTGTATGATAATAAGCGAGTGTTGTTTCAGCATTATATGCAGGTTCTCGAGCAACAGCCCATGGTCCGTAACGACGACCCTGTGTCGCTAAAAGGGTTTTTGCAAACTTGTCGTTCATGCATTAAATCGCTGGAGAAGGTGGGGGTGGATCTCACCCATCAGAGCCACATTTTGGTATACCTGATGACGAAGAAGCTGCCAGCGCAGATACGATTGGATTGGGAAAAATCGATAGCTCAATCGCAAGAGTTACCAACTTTCGAGGAGCTGTCTACCCAGCTAGACGGTCAGTATAGGACGATGGTCACGACAGCCTCAGCTGACAGAGTGTTGTCATCGAACAAGGAGAGTAAAGGCGCTGCTGGGTCCGGCGTAAAACGCAGGGATGTTAAATCTTCATTTGTTGCCCGATCGGTGGATCAATGCGCAGTCTGTGGAACTGAAGGTCATTCCATAGTCGACTGCAAGGTATTTGGAGGCATGAATGTAACAGACCGGCGGGCATCGGTGATGAAGTATCGCTTGTGTTTCAATTGTTTGGGAAGCAACCATCAGTCTCGCAGGTGCAGGCTAAAAAACAATTGTTCGATTTGCACAGACCGACACCACACTCTTGTCCATGTGAAGCGTCAAGTAAGGGATTCTGGGGATCAGGTGCAACAGATCACGTCGAATGTCATAAATGGTGCGCCCGCTATAGGAACGCAAAAATATGAGGTACTGCTGCCTACGGCGTTGGTCACCATTGAGTCATCAGAAGGCTTCCCGTTGCAATTTAGGGCATTCTTAGACCAAGGATCGCAAGCTTCGTTTGTATCGGAAAACGTAGCGCAAAGACTAGGATTGTGTCGACAAAAGACACATTTAAAGGTAAACGGGTTATCCAATGCGCGGATTACGGAAGCATCCTCTTCAGTTCTGTTGAAAATCGGATCACGGTTTGAACCGCAAGTGAAGTACAATGTCACAGCGTATGTTTTGCCGAAGGTTAGTAAGAGGATGCCGGATCGTCGGATATCGATGGAAAAATGGACTCATTTCAAACATCTATGTTTAGCAGATCCCAATTATTTTGTACCCCAAGGAGTGGATATTTTGCTAGGTAGTGACATATATGATGAATTGATGTTGAGCGAGATACATCGTGGACCTGCAGGCACGCCTATCGCGCAGAACACCCGTTTAGGGTTCATTATCTCAGGGAAGGTCCGGGATTATGCAACTAACGCATTGGTACATACGGTTCAGGTGGTCCAGGATGATTCATCTGCGGAATTGGAAGGGTTGCTCCGACGGTTTTGGGAGCTTGAGCAGTATGAGCAAGAATCTGGAGGATTATCGAATGAAGAACAATGGTGTGAGGAACATTTTCTAGAAACATACAAAAGGTTGTCGTATGGGAAATATGTAGTGCGGCTCCCATTGTTATCGACATTGGACCCTAGCGCAGTGATTGGAGCGTCGTACCGGCCAGCTCTAAAAAGGTTGTGCCACCTGGACAAACGTTTACGGAAGGATGCCAAGTTGAAGGAAATATATTCCCAAACGATCCGTGAATATTTGGAACTAGGCCAAATGAAGAGGGCTTCCTCCCAGTGGAGCGACGTTGAAGATCAAGGTGTATTGATGGCCAAGGGGGAGCCACACATTGCTATTTACCCCACCATCCAGTGATTAAGGAATCCTCGACAACAACAAAGGTGCGTGTTGTATTTGATGGGTCAATGAAAACGAGCAATGGAAAGGCGTTAAATGAAGTATTGGCGATCGGGCCAAAACTGCATCGGGATCTACCGAGCGTGTTGATAAACTGGAGGTCGTTGAAATACGCATTCATGGCAGATGTCGAAAAGATGTACAGGTGCATCAATGTCCATGAGAGGGATGCTCAATACCAAAGGATTCTGTGGAAACCGGATGAAGGCGATCAAATTGAGGAGTACGCATGTTGCACGGTGATGTTTGGCACGAGCTGTGCTCCATATTTGGCCATAAGGGTCATGCAACAATTGGCCCAGGATGAAGCTCATAACTACCCGTTGGCTGCAGATGTACTAAGACGTCAAATGTATGTGGATGATGTTTTATCAGGAGCGGATAGTCTGGCTGATGCCCAGGATATTCAAACTCAAGTCATCGGGATGATGAAAAGTGGAACGTTTGAATTACGTAAATGGGCTAGTAATTGCACACAGCTGCTAGACGGAATCCCTCTGGAGCACCGGGAGACAATGGGACCGGTAAATTTGCAGGGCGATGAAATGATACGTGCACTGGGCTTATATTGGAAACCCAGTGAAGACGAATTCCGATTTCATTTAAACTTCGATATTCCGACAGGTACACCGACGAAGAGGAATATATTATCCACGATTGCAAGGCTATTCGATCCGATGGGTTGGCTAAGCCCAGTAACAATAGTGGGACGGCGTCTTATGCAGACCTTATGGAAAACAAAACTTAATTGGGATGACCATGTTCCGCTATCTATTCAAAGGGAATGGGAGAAATTCACACTGGAGTTGCCAAATTTGTCGAAGGTGCATATACCACGGTATATAGCTTGGGGAATGTCAGGCGTTATTCCGCAGTTGCACATATTTTGTGACGCCTCCATGAGTGCATATGGTGCAGCAGCCTATTTGCGGATGCGAAAAGAAGAGGAATCTTTTCATGTGGAGTTGGTGGTAGCAAAATGTAAGGTGTCGCCTATAAAGCCACAGCTTACAATCCCACGAGCCGAGTTGTGTGCAGCAGTTATGGCTGTCAAAATATTCAAATATCTAAAGGACCAAATAAATATCCCAGTTGATTTTTCAAAAACGGTTTTCTGGTCGGACTCAATGATCGTTCTGAGCTGGATTCGAGGAGGAGCTACGAGATGGAAGATGTTCGTTGCCAACCGAATCAGCAAGATTTTGGAGCTAACCGATGGGAAACAATGGAAACACGTTGCCTCGGAGGATAACCCCGCAGACCTTTTAAGCCGTGGAGTCAATGTGACGAAGTTGTCTTCCTGCCAATTGTGGTGGCATGGGCCGCGATGGCTTCAATCGCCTGAAACGGAATGGCCAACCACAGCAGTATACCATGCAATGGACACAGTAGTGAGCAGCGAAATGAAGAAGGTTGACTGTAATTTTGTATCTGTCACGGACGAGTCCTGTCCCTCCTTACTGGAGAGCTGTTCGTCGTTTACACGCCTAATCCGCGTCATATCATATGTGAATCGGTTCTTAAGGAATTGCCGTGTTACCAAGACTGATCGGAAGGCTGGCTTTCTCAGTATAGACGAGCTAAGCGGAGGACTCTTGTGCGCAGTCCGAAGGTGTCAATTGGAAGCTTTTCCCAAGGAATGGAACATGTTAATGAACGGGAAAGGTGCGACCAAAGAGAGTTCGCTGCTGCCACTTAATCCTTATTTTGATAAGGAAGAAAATGTTATTCGGCTTGGAGGCCGATTGAGAGACGCATTACTGTCGAAAGCGGAGAAACATCCGTATATTCTTCCCTACAAGCATCCGCTGACAACGTTGGTTATACGTTTTAGCCATGCCAAGCCTCTGCATGGGGGAGCTGCGATTACACTCAGCCATATACGAAAAAGATTCTGGATACTGAACGGGCGAAATGCTGTACGAAAGGAAATTCACCAATGTGTCGTATGTTACAGGTTGAATCCGAAGACCACTTGTCAGCAAATGGGAGATTTGCCAGCGGTTAGGGTTCGCCCACAAAGAGCTTTTGAATCCATCGGAGTTGATTATGCAGGACCGTTCAACATATCCCCTTCTAAAGGAAGAGGTCGGACAGCAATCAAGGGCTACATCGCTGTATTTATATGTCTGGTGACCAAAGCCATCCACTTGGAACCCGTGGGGGACTTGACATCAACCGCATTTATGGGAGCACTGCAGCGATTCATTGGCCGACGTGGGAAATGCACTCACATATATAGCGATTGTGGGACGAATTTTGTTGGCGCAAATCGAAAGCTGCAAGCTGATAAGTTGGCATACAGACGGTACATCGAAAATACTATCCTCTCAAAACTAGCAGATGATGGGATCACTTGGCATTTTAACCCTCCATCTGCACCACATTTTGGAGGACTGTGGGAGGCGGGTGTTAAATCGATGAAATACCACCTGAAGAGGACGATCGGAGTTCGTACACTTACGTATGAAGAGTTGGCTACTGTGCTAGCTCAAATCGAGGCTTGTTTAAACTCTCGGCCACTATGCCCTCTGAGCAATGATCCAGAAGACCTAATGGTATTAACCCCTGGTCACTTTTTAATAGGGGAATCTTTACTTGCTCTACCTGAGGGACAGGTTGATAACATTAGCCACACGGAACGATGGAGAAACTGTCAATATATGGTTCAGCAATTCTGGAAACGTTGGAGCTCTGACTATTTAACGCGATTGCAACGGAGACCGAAATGGTTAGAAAGGAAGGAGAATTTAAAGGCCGGCGACATAGTTATTGTTAAAGACGAGCGGCTTCCGTCTAATTTCTGGCCCCTTGGTCGAATTATGCAAACTCACCGAGGGAAGGATGGTTTAGTTCGAGTGGTCACGCTAAAATCTAACGGGGGCCTGATTAAACGACCGGTTGCAAAGCTCTGCCCTCTACCTATACAAGATAATTGGCTAAATTCTGACATTGACCCTCCACAACACTCATAAACTGCACTCTCTCGTTACAGCGTTGTTTTGAGCTTTATTTTCAGTTCTATTGGCCTGAAGTTGGAAAAAAAAAAAAAAAAAAAACCAATCTGGATTAGACGATACTGAAGCTATCGTCAAGGGGGGAGAATGTTTAGGCAACGCAAAGTTTCTACCGGGGAACTATTTTATATTATAGCAGCTCAGATGTCGTTGCGCCTATGTTTTGGGAGTATGCCTTATGCATCTCTTTCGTAGTTGTTTTGGGAGCTACAGCGATCGGCAAACGTCTACGGTCTGCTCGTAACGCTCTTATACGGCGCTCTCGTACGCTATTTTCGCGTCGCAAGGTGCAGTTAGGACTAGCATATAAGTACTACATAAGTTCAAGAACCACATCGACGGCAATGAACAGCAAGCCGATGATACAGTCTGTAAGCGACAGCCCAGGAAAGCAGAACGCACCCTCTGTGCCAAACATTGTATTTTTTAACTTAACCTCTAATAAATCATTACGCAATCATTAAATCCGCGTGTAAAACCTTTCTCTGGGACCACGGATCCGCCCCCCTAAGGAACGTCCACTGCCGCCACAGGTGTAATACCACTTTGTGTGCCGCATCATTATCTCAGCAGATTGGGGCTTCGTCAAGGCGCAGCCGTAAACCAACATACTCAGAGAATCAAGGCACCCCTCACTCCGAGAGAAGCCAGTAGCAGCCCTGCGGCAAGGACCAAATCGGTTCTGTTCCCGTCTTCTGTCACTCTTAAGGTTCCAGCTGTGACCAAACAAGATCCGAAGGGCTCCTTCGTCAGCAGCCCCGTCAGCTCTCGCCACTGCATCACAATGGCTCAATCCGCCACCTCAGTCGCTCGGACCAAATTGGCTGCCGCTATTGGCCGACTGTCGCACCTGGCAGAGCGCATCACCGCCGCCCCATCCGCCTCTTTGTCCGAGGTCCGTCGAGGCCAAATCCTTAGCATGTGGACGGACGTCGAGGCCGAATATAAGGCCTGCTCCGCGGTGATGACTGACGAGGAGCCAGAAATCCAAGCGGACAACCGTGACACATACGGTGAATGCTATGGGGTCTTTGAGCAGTGCCTCAATGACCTCAATGCCCAACTGGCCACATCCATAGTTCTTCCTCCTTCACAGCCAGTCCAACAGGGCGGCTGTCGACTGCCTCCCGTCAATATTGAGGCATTCACAGGGGAATACGTCCGCTGGCCCACATTTCGGGATCTGTTTACTGCGGTTGTGATCAACAATCCTAGATTGTCTCCGGTAGAGAGGCTGTACTACCTCACCGAGAAGACCCGGGGCGATCCGAAGGCCATCGTAGAGAAATCCCCCCTCACTAATGACGGTTTCGAGTCCGCATGGTCGGCTCTCCTCAGCCGATATGAAAATAATCGGCTTCTGGTTACCAACCAGATAAACATCCTCCTCTTCTTGCCCCGCGTAACTTCCGAGTGCAGTCGGGCTTTGAAGGATCTACAAAGTACTATGCAGGGGGTCTTAAATGCACTAGCTATCTCCAACGTCTGTACCGACAATTGGGATAGTCCCCTAGTGACCATCTGCGCTTCCAAATTTCCAAAGTTAAGCCGGGCGTTATGGGAAGCGTCCGTAACGGACAAAAAGGAGGTGCCGCCCTGGAAGGAAATCGACTCCTTCCTGACTCAGCGATACCTAACGCTAGAGGCTATCGAGAGCGACCCCTCCACTTACCAAGGCGCTCCGAATCCGCCACCCGCCAAAGGCAGTCAGAATCCGCCATCCTCCCAAAGTCAGTCCAATCCGTTCCGTTCCCAAGGCAGTCCTGTTCCAAGGACAGCGCACTCGTTCCAAAGCCACGTGAATCCGAGCAAGAGCACGTGTGATCTCTGTTCCAAGGAGAATCACCCAATCGGACTATGTCCTCATTTCCT